GATTTTTCTGTAATCATCATTATTATCTACTCCTATTGGTTGATGATAGATATCTTCATTTTTCTTTGTTTATTTTCTCCAGCACTTTGTAGTTTAACATTTTATATATCTACAATGGAACCTTCTCAACAAATGGTGCCAGAACTACTAGACATCCACATGCAAAAAAAAATGAATCTAGACACAGACCTGTCACAAAAATTAACTCGACAACTGACCTAAATGTAAAACACAAAACTATAAAAACTCCTAGAAGAAAACATAGGAGAAAATTTAGATGACTTTAGATAAAGCAATGACTTCTTAGATACAACACCAGAAGCATGATCTATGACAGAAATAATGCTAAACTGTCCATTAAAATTAAAAACTGCTCTGCAAAAGACAATGTCAAGAGAATGAGAAGACAAACCACAGACCGGGAGAAAATATTTGCAAAAGACATCTGATAAAGGACTGCATAATCCAGAATATACAAAGAGTTCTTAAGAGTTCAAAATAAGAAACAATCTGATTAAAAAATGGGTTAAAGACCTTCACAGACACCTCACCAAAGAAGATACACAGATAGCAATTAAGCATGTGAAAAGACACTCCACATCATATGTCATCAGGGAAATGCAAATTAAAGCAATAAGATACCACTACATACCTATTTGAAGGGCCAAAATCTGGAACACTGACAGTACCAAATGCCGGTGAGGATGTGGAAGAAAAGGAACTCTCATTCATTGCAAGTGAAAATGTAAAACGGTACAGTCCCTTTATTTTTATTTTTTAAAAGATTTTATTTATTTATTTGACAGAGAAAGACACAGCGAGAGAGGGAACACAAACGGGGAGTGGGAGAGGGAGAAGCAGACTCCCTGCCGAGCAGGGAGCCCGATGCGGGACTCAATCCTGGGACTCCAGGATCATGACCTGAGCCGAAGGCAGTCGCTTAACCTACTGAGCCACCCAGGCGCCCGGTACAGTCCCTTTAAAAGACCGTTTGGCAGGGGCGCCTGGGTGACTCAGTCTTTCAGTGTCTGCCTTCGGCTCAGGTCATGATCCCAGTGTCCTGCTTCTCCCTCTCCCACTCCCCCCTGCTTGTGTTCCCTCTCTCGCTGTGTCTCTCTTTCTCAAATAAATAAATAAAATCTTTAAAAGAAAGAAAGAAAGAAAAAGCCCATTTGGCAGTTTCTTACAAAACCAAACATATCCTTACTATATTATCCAGAACTCATGCTCCTTGATATTTACCCAAAGGAATTGAAAACTATGTCCCCACAAAAGCTGCACATGATTTTCATAGCAGCTTTATTCATAATTGCCAAAACTTAGAGGCAACCAAGACATCCTTCTGTAAGTGAAGCAGGATAAGTAAACTGTAGTACATCTAGACGATGGAATATTAAACAGTGCTAAAAAGAAATGAGCTATTAAGTCATGAAAAGACACAGAGGAAACTTAAATATATATTACCAAGTGAGAGAAGGCAATCTGAAAAAGGCTACAATCTGGGCGCCTGGGTGGCTCAGATGGTTCAGCGTCTGCCTTCGGCTCAGGTCATGATCCCAGGGTCCTGGGATCGAGTCCCACATCGGGCTCCCTGCTCAGCGGAGCCTGCTTCTCCCTCTGCCTCTCTCTCTCTCTCTCTGTCTCTTATGAATAAATAAATAAAATCTTTAAAAAAAGAATAAAAAAGGCTACATTCTGTACGATTCCAACTATATGTCATTCCAGAAAAGGCAAAATTATGGAGACAGTAAAAACACCAGTGGTTGGTAAGGGTTGAGGGGAGTGAGAGGATAAGCATACCATAATGATGATACCATAATGATGGATACATGTCATTATACATTTGTCATAAGCCATACAATGTATAACACCATGAATGAACCCTATGTAAACTATGGACTGTGGGTGATCATGGTGTGTTAATGTAGGTTCATCAGTTGTAAAAAGTGTACCATTCTGGTGGGGGATATTGCATGCATGTGTAAGGGCAAGGTGATATATGGGAAATCTCTGTAACGTCCCTTTGATTTTTTTTTTTTTGTGAACCTTAAACTGCTCTAAAAAATTAAGGTCTTAATAAAAGGAAAAAAATGTATATATTATCTCAAGTTCTCACCTATAAATCCTTGACTACCAAGGAGCTGAGATAGCTAGGTATAAGTTTAGGCGATGGTTTTCCTAATGAGCTGTATACATAAAGTTCTACTTTACTACCTAAGGCCTGCTTATTTGTACTCAGAAAAGAGACAGTGGCATTAATAACAACTTATTTTGTGGAAGGCACAAAGAACTGGCCTTATTGATTGGAGTTCACATTGGCTTTTGACTTTTGAGGTTGAGTTATCTCTTAGGATAAAACCGAACTTTGTTGTCCCAAGCTATAGAACATTCTGCATATAAGAGTAGTTGTTTTTGTCTTCACAACTACTTTCTTTCTCTTATTCGTTCATTTTTTTCATTCATTTAATAAATACTATGTGTCCACCTAGGCATTGTGCTATGAAGGAAGAGTACTAGCTTATGTGATAGTTAGAGGGGCCTAATACAGTTGGAGGTGTATAAAGGCCTGTAAATGCTTAGAAGACCACTGAAGTTTAAAGTGAGTTCTGAGGGGTGCCTGGGTGGCTCAGTCGTTAAGCGTCTGCTTTTGGCTCAGGTCATGATCCCAGGGTTCTGGGATCGAGCCCCACATCTGGCTCCTGCTCAGTGGGAAGCCTGCTCCTCCCTCTCCCACTCCCCCTGTTTGTGTTCCCTCTCTCCCTGTCTCTCTCTCTGTCAAATAAAATCTTAAAAAAATAAAGTTTATTTTTTAAGTTCTGAAGAATGAGTAGGATTCAATGGAGGGCATGGGGATTGGTGAAGAGTTAGTTTTCAGGACGTGATGTTCTCTGAGGCTGCTTATTGAGCTGAAAGAAGACTGGCGTAGTAGAAAATAGAAAATGATTAGGTTGGAAAGGCTTTGGGGCCATGTGAATAATTTTGCATTTTATTTTAAGACCAATGGAAGTGATATTAGACTTGATAATTATCATTTAGGGTGTATAGCTAAAGCATAATTTGAGATAGTAGACTAAGGTGGAGTAGTCAGGCTAATGAGTAACTCTATGAAAATAAATTTTATTATGCAACATTTATTAGGACTATATACGGTTTTGCTAGAATTCAGAAATATAAAGATAAATAATACACCATTAGTTTGTAGCACAGGTAAGGAGTTGTAAAGAAATTAGAGCCAAATATGAAGTAAAAATATAATAAATATGTTAATAAAGTGCTTTAGGAACCCTTGCTGTCGGCTGGGAAACTCTATAAGCAATCATGACTCATAGCCAGAGGGAGGCTTGGGCTAAGAATAGCTTTAGAGTATTTATTTTTATTTTTTAAAAGATTTTATTTGAGAGAGAGAGAGAGAAAGAGAGAGAGAGAGAGCACACAAGCAGGGGGAGGGGCAGAGGCAAAGGGAGAGGGAGAAGCAGACTGCCTGCTGAGCAGGGAGCCCAACGTGGGGTTGGGCCCAGGACCTGAGATCATGACCTGAGCTGAAGGCAGACACTTAACCAACTGAGACACCCAGGTGCCCCTAGAGCATTTTTTAAAAAGTAGGCTCCACACCCAGCATGGAGCCCAACACAGGGCTTGAACTCATGACCCTGAGATCAAGACCTGAGCTGAGATTCAACCAAATGAGCCACCCAGGTGCCCATAGAGAATTTTTTTTTTTGCCAACTCTTGGCTAGTCAGGTCTTTTTGGCTTCTGTGTACTTTTCAGTCATGTAGTAAATACTATTTTTTTTTTCCTTTAAATATACTCAAAGGGTGGAGAACTGTGAGGGTTTCCTCATAGAAAAGGACAAAATGCAAAGAAAGGAGGTTTGTTGGCTTTTCTTTAGAATTCTGTGAGGATCGTGTCACCTTGGCAGTAAATGTGCCTTAAAAATAAAGGGTGTTAACAAAAAAGTATGAGATCTTGACATTTGCGACAACATGGATGGACCTAGAGAGCCTTATGCTAAGTGAAATAAGTCAGACAAGGAAAGACAAACATCATATGATTTTACTGATATGTAGAATCTAAGAAACAGACACACACAATCAAAAGGAAGAAACAGACCCATAAATACAGAGAACAAACTGATGGTTGCCAGAGGGAGGAGGATGGGCAAAATGGGGGAAAGGGAGAGGGAGACACAGGCTTCCAGTTATGGAATGAATAGGTCATGGGGAAAAAAGGTACAGGATAGGGAATCCAGTCAAGGGTATTGTAATAGTGTTGTATGGTGATAGATAGTAGCTACACTTGTGGGCAAAATATATAGACTTGTTGAATCACTATGTTGAATGTCTGAAACTAATGTAGCATTGTGTCAACTGTACTTCAAAACAAAACAAAACAAAACACCTCCCCAGGTGATAACTAATATGCAACCGAGATTGAGAAATATTGCCTGAGGGCTTCCACGGGTTTACTTGTTCCTTGTAGGACCTGTGTACTTATTCTTTCTTTTTTTTTTTCTAAATGCTTATTATACCAATCATGTATAGTCATTGAATAAAATCTAGAAAGAAAGAAGGAAGGAAGGGAAGGAAGGGAAAGGAAGAGAAGGGAAGGAGGGATGCCTGGGTGGCTCGTTGGTTAAGCCTCTGCCTTCAGCTCAGGTCGTGATCCCAGGGTTCTGGGATCCAGCCCCACATAGGGTTCCCTGCTTAGCGGGAGGCCTGCTTCACCCTCTCCCACTCCCCCTGCTTGTGTTCCTGTCTCTGTCAAATAAATAAATAAAATATTAAAAAAAGAAGGAAGGAAAGGAAAGAAAGAAAAAAAAAGGAAAGAAGGAAGAAAGAAAGAAGAGAAAAAAAAAGAAAGAAACGGTGTTGACACAAATTATGTAAGGTTCCCAGCCGGTGCGTTGAGTTAGCAGGTGATCTCTGCGGCGCTTATGCCCCGCCAGCCCGCTAGGGCGGCGCAGCTCGGCGGACCGCCATCCCCTCGCGGAAGGCGACGCTCTTGGCCTTGGCGGCGGCGCAGTCTCTCCAAGGTGAAACTCCCTGCTGGTTTTGCCGCGAGTCCTTAGCCGCTGTTTGTGCTGTGGCTGTGGCTAGTTTTGCGGCGGGTGGCTGGCCATGGAGCGCCCGGGGCCCAGTGAAGGTGGGTTCCGTGGGGCGATGCCAGGCAGGAGGGCGGGAAGGGCCGTGGGACGCCGAGGTCGCCGCACTAACGAGACCTTCTCCTCCTCCTCTTGCCCCAGTGACAGGCTCAGACGCATCGGGACCGGATCCGCAGCTGGCGGCTACCATGGGCTTCACGGGGTTCGGTGAGTGACTGTCTTAACACCTAGCCTCATCTCCTTTTGCAGAGGTTTTAAGAACCGCAGGTTGAGAGAGGAGGCCCAGCTGTCACCTCTGTTCCGCACCCTCCGCTGTGCCAAGCCCTAGTTATTTTGGCTCTAGTGTATGCCTTGCAGCTTTCTCGGTAGCCCCTTTCCCATCCGTTTTCGAATTCTTCTTGCTTGTCTGTTGGGACCAGTTTAGGTGACACGTATAGGAAGCCTTGTGGGAAAGATAGCTTTGTGACCTATGCTGTGGACGCTGTTGGTTAGTGGAGGGAGTTGTCTTTTTGTGTCCTGAGACTGAGAGCTAACCATTGACTGTGGTCTGTAATGAGATGACTTTTCTGGCATCAAGTGGGCCATTAAGTGATATTATAAGGGTTATTAAATCCTTTTTGATTCAAACCTTTCTTCCCCGGAATTGTCACTTCAGTCTCTCTGTAGAGTCTTGTTATGAGATAAAGAAGGACATTTCAAACAGAGATGTAGTCATCTGTTGAAAACATTACTGCTTGTAAGAAACAAATGTAAATTGTCTTCCCATTTCGCTGATCTTGGATAGAACAAATATCAGGCTAATGTGTCCAGGTCTCTTGTTGGTGTTCATATATCCATTTATTATGGTAATGTCTTCTGCCACATTTTTACTCCTAGGTGGTCATGTTTACAAAAATACTATATAATTATGTGTTACTATAGTATTTACTTTTGTGGGTTTTTTTTTTTTAAGATTTTATTTATTGTCAGAGAGAGAGCGTGCACAAGCAGGCGGAGCAGCAGGCAGAGGAAGAAGCAGGCTCACTGCCGAGCAAGGAGCACCTGTGGTGAAGGCAGACGCTTAACCGGCTGAGCCACCCAGGCGTCCCTATAGTATTTACTTTTGTTTCAGTTCTTTAAAATAGTTTCCTCCCTAATTTCAAAAGTAACACATATTAATAGCAGAAGATCTGAAGAACACAAAAAATGAGAAGGAAGAAAGTAAAATCCTTAATAATTGCATGACCTAGAAATCAAAGCTTAGAAGTTTGTTTTCTATTCTTTTCTGTTGTATATTTATCAAGAAAGTTAACATCATATGTATGTACAATTTTATATTCTTAATTATATACTTTAATTCTTTTTTTTTTAAAGATTTATTTATTTATTTGAGAGAGCGAGAACGAGAGAATGAGAGAGAGAGAGAGAGAGAGAGTACATGAGAGGGGGGAGGGTCAGAGGGAGAAGCAGACTCCCCGCCGAGCAGGGAGCCCGATGCGGGACTCGATCCAGGGACTCCAGGATCATGACCTGAGCCGAAGGCAGTCGCTCAACCAACTGAGCCACCCAGGCGCCCTATATACTTTAATTCTTAATACTTTGAGGATTTTCCCTGTCACAACATGCTCTTCCAAAACATTTTTAATGGCTGAATAGTACATTTAATAGAAGTGTCATAATTTTGGCCTACATAGTTTCTAATTCTAACTTTTATTAGTACTACTAAAAAGAATATCTTTATAAATAACTCTTATTTTTTTTTTTTTGGTAAAAGGAATTTTATGTGCATTTCCATAGGGGAAATTTCTAAAGAAGGGACTATAATAAAAATATAAATATTAAAAAGTAACCAAAACATTGGGTATATATCTTTTTTTATTTTTTAATTTTTTTTAAATTTATTGTTTAAGTAGGCTCCACAACCAGCGTGGAGCCCAACCCAGAGCTTGAACTCATGATGCTGAGATCAAGAGTCTTACGCTTAGAGGCACCTGGGTGGCTCAGTTGGTTGGGTGACTGCCTTCGGCTCAGGTCATGATCCTGGAGTCCCGGGATCGAGTCCCGCATCTGGCTCCCTGCTCAGCGGGGGGTCTGCTTCTCCCTCTGACCCTCCCCCTCTCATGCTCGCTCTCTCTCTAGCTCATTCTGTCTCTTAAATAAATAAATAAATAAAATCTTTACCAAAAAAAAAAAAGTCTTACACTTAACGGACTGAGCCACCCAGGTGCTCCTGGGTATATATCTTTTATTTTTTATTTTAATTTTTTTTAAAGATTTTATTTATTTATTTGAGAGAGAGAGAATGAGAGACAGAGAGCACGAGAGGGAAGAGGATCAGAGGGAGAGGCAGACCCCCCGCCGAGCAGGGAGCCCGACATGGGACTCGATCCCGGGACTCCAGGATCACGACCTGAGCCAAGGCAGTTGCTTAACCAACTGAGCCACCCAGGCGGGGCGCCTGGGTATATATCTTTTAAAACTAATTGATACATTTTGTCATAATGCCCTTCAGAAAGGTTGTTTCAGAGCGTCTGGGTGGCTCAGTCGGTTAAGCGACTGCCTTCGGCTCAGGTCATGATCCCAGAGTCCTGGGATCGAGTCCCACATCGGGCTCCCTGCTCTGCGGGGAGCCTGCTTCTCCCTCTCTCACTCCCCCTGCTTGTGTTCCCTCTCTCGCTGTGTCTCTCTCTGTCAAATAAATAAATAAAATCTTTAAAAAAAAAAAATAGAAAGGTTGTTTCATATTATAGCAAAGTCAGTATTATGTAAGAATGACATTTTTACCATATTCTTACTAACATGGAGTAGACATTATTATTTAAAAAAAAAAAGCAATGAAAACAAATATATTGCTTCCAAGCTCATTCACGTTGCCAGAATTTGGTTTCTTGTAGTTTTAGGGCTGAGGCCTCTGTTTCCTTATTTGCTGTCAGGTGGGAGTCTCTTAGCTTCTTAAGGTCCTTGCATTCTTGTCATCTTACTGCCATCATCTGAAAATGAACTAGTGTTTCCAGTCCTCACACTTCACATCTCTCTGACTTCAGCTGTATCTGTTCTTCATCTTTGCTTGTAAGGGCTTCTGTGATTAGATTGGGCCAACCAGGATAACCTGTTTTAAAGTCCATAACCTTAATTAGATCTACAAAGCCCCTTTTGCCCTGTAATTTAACATATTCCCGGGTTCCAGAGATTAGGGTATGAACATTCTCCATTCTGCCTATGACCAGTGTTGTAGATTTAAGGGGTAGAGTCCAGGTCAATTAGAGGAGGATGGGAAAGTTGGCTGGTCAATGATGAGACTGTCATTAAAAATTCCCTGGGAAGTAAACTCTTTCTTCCTAGGTATTTTTCTTGTAGCCAGGCTATAAATTAAACAGACTAAATGGTTATCAAACATTTAATAAGTATTTATTGAGTACCTAAAGTTTGGCCAGCTTAGTGCAAGAAGATCACAGTCTGCTACTTATTTCTGTTTAGGAAAAAAAGCTCGAACATTTGATTTGGAAGCAATGTTTGAACAAACACGAAGAACAGCTGTGGAAAGAAGTCGGAAAACACTGGGTAAGCAGTAATGGCTCTTTTATTGGTTTCAATACTGTATACACCTTACACAAGTACATTGACAGTTATAAAACTGAAAAAAAATGCAAAGTTGTTTTTTTTTTTAATATTTTATTTATTTGACAGAGAGAGACAGAGAGAGAGGGAACACAAGCAGGGGGAGTGGGAGAGGGAGAAGAAGGCTTCCCGCTGAGCAGGGCGCCCGATGTGGGGCTCGATCCCAGGACCCCAGGATCATGACCCGAGCTGAAGGCAGATGCTTAGCGACTGAGCCATCAGGCGCCCCTCAAAGTTGTTAAAAGACCAAATGTGCTGGTTCCTTTGGAAGCAAAGGTTATTATTTTTTTTTAGCATGGTAAAAGTTACATCTAAGTAGGATAAGAAAGTCTGAATGCTAAAATCTTTTTGAAGTGTGTGCTATGAACAAAGAGGGATTCTAAATTAATTTATAAGAATCAGAATAGCAGTTTCTTTGTTACCTCTCCTTCCACCTTTATCTGATTTTCATTTCATTTTTTTCTTTTCCTGCTTACAGCGGAACCAGTATTTGGAAGTCTGGGCGAGAGGTGGCTCTCAGAGCTGTGTGCACCGCTGACTGTTGACTCAGACAGTATAGACAGTTGAGACAGACAGTGAATGTGGCTGCTCTTGAGCCCCTGCATTCATGAGTTGTATCAGACATTTAATGAAGGCCTTAATTTCCAGACTGTCTGGTGTGATACCAGGTGGTTGGCAATTCTGGGTACCACCTTAGGGTCTTCCAAGTAGATGGACTCCTCTACTGCTTTGTTTTTTGTTTTTTTAAAGATTTATTTAATCATCAGAGAGCACACAAGCAGGGGGAGCGGCAGGGAGAGGAAGAAGCAGGCTCCCTGCTGAGCAAGGAGCCCGATGCGGGGCTCAATCCCAGGACCCTGGGATCATGACCTGAGCCGAAGGCAGATGCTTAACGACTGAGCCACCCAGGTGCCCCTCTACTGGTTTCTTTGGATGTGACTCAGATCATTCTTACAGCGAAAGGATAGATGTATCTTGATAGCGCAAAAGGGGCTAGAAATCAGACTGGACTTCTGGAAAAATTTAAGTGAATGTTCTGGCGATTGTCCTTTTTGGTTTTAAAATGATAAATTATATAGCAGTAATTTGGAAAGTGAGCTTGATGTGAAATTTTTTGGTCTTCGGAAGAATAAGGTTTTTTGTGGTGAGAAGCCCACATACTGTTTTTTAAAAAGAACTGTCATTAATAACACATTTCAAACATACAAAAGTATAGTAATGAACTCCTGTCACACAGATTTAAGTACTATAACAATTCACAGCTGGTGTTATTTCCATTTTCTTCCCCTCTCAGATTATTTTGATATAAATCTGAGACACATTATTTCACCCATAAATATTTTATTTTATTTTTTTAAAGATTTTATTTATTTATTTGAGACAGAGAGAATGAGAGAGAGAGCATGAGAGGGGGGAGGGTCAGAGGGAGAAGCAGACTCCCTGCCGAGCAGGGAGCCCGATGTGGGACTTGATCCTGGGACTCCAGGATCATGACCTGAGCCGAAGGCAGTCGCTTAACCAACTGAGCCACCCAGGCGCCCACACCCATAAATATTTTAGTATGTGTCTTTAAGAGATACTGAACCTTTTTTTTTTTTTAAAGATTTTATTTATTTATTCATGAGAGATAGAGAGAGAGAGAGAGAGGCAGAGGCAGAGGGAGAAGCAGGCTCCCCGCGGAGCAGGGAGCCCGATGCGGGACTCGATCCCAGGACCCTGGGATCATGACCTGAGCTGAAGTCAGACGCTTAACCGACTGAGCCACACAGGCGTCCCGATACTGAACCTTTTAAAAACTTAACTGAAATACTTCTACCACACTTAAAAATAATAAATAATTTAATATCATCAGACAAGATACAAAGACATGCTACTACTTGAGGCATATTTACAAATGCTTTAACCACTTAATTTTTATTTTTTTAAAAATTTGTTTATTTGACAGGGACACAGTGAGAGAGGGAACACAAGCAGGGGGAGTGGGAGAGGGAGAAGCAGGCTTCCCGCTGAGCAGGGAGCCCGATGTGGGGCTCGATCCCAGGACCCTGAGATCATGATCTGAGCTCAAGGCAGCCGCTTAACGACTGAGCCACCCAGGCGCCCCTAACCACTTAATTTTTAAATTAAGCATTTTAGTGAATGCTTATGCTATTAGAGTATAGCTCTCTTGTATTTACGTCTTTCAGCTTGTGATAACAAAACACTTGGAACAGAGATTGTCTGTTCACCTAAGTAAGTTTTATAGTTCCCTGTACCATGCCTTGAAAGATAAGTCCTCGATATATACTTGAGAAGATTGAATTTAGAACTCCAATACTGCCTTTTAAAAAATAAATTCTGCTTCTTTGGAGAATGTTTTAAAATGGCCCCGTCCATTGTATAGAGCTTCGGATTTGGAGTTGGAGGACCTAGGTGTGAGGGTCAGCTGCACATCCTACTAGAGAGAACGTTGGGTGGATTTTCAAATATCAGATCCTTAATTTCCTCATCTCTTAGGTGGAAGTGATAATAAGGAATCCCTTAGAAGTTTCTTAAAGGGATTAAGATGTTGGGCATAGTACCTTTTAAACAGTAAAGTACTTTAAAAATATCACTTTAAACTCTTACAGTTTTTCTTAGTAAAGCATGTATGCATTTAGCACCTAAGGGGAATTACAGCGAACAGTTACTAGATTTTTAAAATTTGAAAAATCATCTCAAGACCAAGTTCTCCTGTGATGTTTGTGGATGAATTGTGTTGAACTTTGTTGATTTAGTATTATATCCTCGGACTTGGACTGCTGTTTTTTTTTTTTTTAAAGATTTTATTTATTTGACAGAGACACAGCAAGAGAGGGAACACAAGCAGGGGGAGTGGGAGAGGGAGAAGCAGGCTTCCCGCTGAGCAGGGAGCCCAATGCGGGGCTCGATCCCAGGACCCTGGGACCATGACCTGAGCCGAAGGCAGACGCTTAACAACTGAGCCACCCAGGCGCCCCTGGACTGCTGTTTTTACCCCTGATCTAAATACATGAATCCAAAGTTTCACTTATTTTTCTTGAAAGTTCAAAAATTGCGATATGGGCATTATTTATCTCGTGATTGGATTAGAGATTGGCATTGACATTAGACTTGAGGAAAATAATTCTTATGGTTCCCCCCCGCCCCCCGGCAGTCCCTTTTAATAGAAAGTTTGTCTGTGTTTATGTATATGAACTGTTTTAGTTGGTAAATGCTCTAATAGAAAGGATGAATTACTATAAAACCTCAATAAAGTATGCATTATGTTAAATGTCAGGAAATAATGGTACAATTGGTTTGTTTTTTTTAAAGTGTTTTTTTCTTTTTTTAAAAGATTTTATTTATTTATTTGTTTGTTTGTTTGTTTATTTATTTATTTGAGAGAGCACCAGCGAGCAGGAGGGGTAGGAGGGGCAGAGGGAGACTCAGGCTCTCTGCTGAGCAGGGAGCCTGAAACAGGACTCGATTCTAGAATTCCGGGATCATGACCTGAGCTGAAGGCAGATGCTTAACCCACAGAGCCACCCAGCCACCTCTATATGTTTTATTTTTCCGAAAGGTCTAATAATTATGTCTAGGGCATATGTAAGACTTAGGTCCTTTTTTATTTTTTTTAAAGATTTTATTTATTTATTTGACAGAGAGAAACACAGCGAGAGAGGGAACACGAGCAGGGGGAGTGGGAGAGGGAGAAGCAAGCTTCCTGCGGAGCAGGGAGCCTGATGCGGGGCTCGATCCCAGGACCCTGGGATCATGACCTGAGCCGAAGGCAGACGCTTAACCGGCTGAGCCACCCAGGCGCCCCGACTTAGGTCCTTTTTTAGAGCTATAATACTATGAGGAGATAAATGGGGAAGAAAAATTTATTCAAATGCTTATTTTGGGTGTGCATGTGTTTTATTTAAATTTAAATATATTTAAAAATTATTAGAGCACCAGCGAGTGCGTGCATGGGGGAGGGGGGGAGCAGAGAGAGTGGGAGAAGCAGACTCCTCGCTGAGCAGGGAGCCCGTGGAGGGGGGATGGTGGCACCAGAGGGCTCAATCCCAGGACCCCGAGATCCTGACCTGAGCCAAAGACAGAGGCTTAACTGACTGAGCCACCCAGGTGGTATGCCTGTGCTTTAGATGGATTTATGAACCTTCTCTGTGGTAGGACAGGAAACAATATCTTTGAAAAAACAGTTAAGATAGGATTTGAATATGATTTCAATGGATGATTTAGTGATCCTGAAAAGAAAAACTGTCCCAGAGATTTTAGAAATTAGAAAAGCTTAAAGAATTGTGTGTGTGTGTGTGTGTGTATGTGTGTACCTGAAATGGTCTTCCTACCTGGGTAAATCCTATCTCATCCTTTAAGCCCTCACACATATTTTACTTTTTCTAGGAATTTTTTGAAAACCTGTCTGGACCTAGTAATTGTTCCCTGCCTTTTTTTCCATAACACTTTAAAAAATACTATAAATTTTATCCTAATATTGTTCATGTATTGAGGATAAGAACCTTGTTTTCATCTTATACTTACAGTGCCTAGTAGAGGTTAGTACATAATAGTTACATCCCTAAATCTTTAATGGAGAAATGTAATTAATGTAGTTAAAATATTCTTATTTTTTAATTTCCTAGTATTTTGGCATTAAATATTTAGAATTAAATGTAGATTTACATGAAATTGGTAGGCTAGTGAATTGTTTTAAGTTAGAGTAACAAAAAGATTTAGCAAGATTTAAGTCCCATGGGTAAAAAGAATATCATGATTAGAAAACATTTATTCTAGCTTATATTTACAGTAATTTTATTTCCTTTACATTTTATCTTAAGTCTCGTTTCTTCCTTTAAGTTAAGTGATTGCTCTAATGATTGGCTCTGAGATTTTCACGTGCCAAATTACATTCCTTTGAGTCTGCAATTTGTGTGAATGAGCCCAGATGGGAGATGGTAGTTTTGGATAGTTTGCTGTTACCTAGACAAAAATTGCATACATATGGAGGAGCTTTTGCAGAAATGGCTATCCAAAAATTGGTAACTGTTTGAAAGTAGAGAACAATAAAATCAGGTGCTTGGAAGAATAAAATTAGGTGTGGGATAGTAGGTTAATTCACTTTGGTTAAGGGAAGATACAGAGCATTTTTACAGTGCTTATCGTGTGCTTGGTTCCACATTTGATGAAAATGCATGAAACGATACCCTTTGCAGGGAGTTACAGACTACTGAATTCTGTTTGGTTTTGGTTTTTGTCCTCACTTAACAATGAGGAAGATATTTTTTTCCCCCTCTAAAATGTCTTAATCCCACTTTTTATCTTTGTCCCTTGCTTTAATGAAGCAACAGGTGATGGCAGAAAACTCTCTGATTAGAAAATCCTGGCTAGTGTTTAAAAAATTTTTTTTAAATTTTAAATTAAAAAAATTAGATGCTTGGGGATGCCTGGGTGGCTCAGTCTGTTAAGCCTCTGCCTTCTGCTCAGGTCATGATCCCAGGGTCCTGGGATCGAGTCTAGCAGTGGGCTCCTTGCTCAGCAGGGAGCCTGCTTCTCCCTTTGCCTGCCACTCCCCCTGCTTGTGCTCGCATGCTGTCTCTCTCTCTGACAAATAAATAAATAAAATCTTTAAAAAAAATTAGATGCTTTACTAGGTACAAGTAGTTTGGAGTATTTATCCTCTGGTGAGGAACTCTAGTTGGACAGGTAAGCGGCTCAGTTTCCAGATAGTCTGGCTACAAGCATGCAGTAAAGGGCTGGGCTTTGGAGAGAAAGGCAGGCAAACTATTATATAAGGTAGGTGGTGCTCACTGGGTAATTTTGTCTCTAAGAAAGTCTGGTCACATCTTGGAAAGATCAAGTTGTAGAGCCTCAGTTCACTGCTTGGGGACTTCATAGCTTTGTTACTTAACTTTTCTATGGCATAGATTTCTCAAATGTGGAGTGAAAATAGTAGTACCTACATCAACTGTATTGTATAATTGAAATTTGCTAAGACAGTAGAACTTAAATGTTTTCACTTAAAAAAGGGTGAATATGTGGGGTGATAGATCTGTTCATTGACTCCATGGGGAGAATCTTCTCGTAATGTAGATGTATATTAAATCATCACATTGTGCACTTTAAATATTTTACAATTTTGTCATTTATACCACAAGCTAAAAAAAAATAGTACCTACTTCAGAGGTTGTTGTGATGATTAAAGGAGCTGATTTATAGGCAGTGCTTAAAACAGTACCTGATACATAGTAAGCTCCATGTGTAAGTATTAGCTGCTATTATATTTGTTAAATTAAGGTTGTTATTATAAGGTGGTTACTTACAAAGAAGTCCTAGAAGATCTAATTGAAAATGGCTCAAATAAGAAAAATTTAGTGTTACACATGAAAACAACTCTGGAATGGGGCTCTTCCACCTTCTGAGTCCTGACATGAAGAATGTTAAGTTTTTTCCCCCCTTTTTCTGCTTTGCCAGTTTCAGGGTATTGGCTTATTTTAAGCCGACTGCCCTCATGACTGGAAATTGTAGGTGAAATTTTGTTACATGCGGATGACCACATTCACAGGCTGAAAGGATACTGCTTTGTATATATATATTTTTAGAAGTAAGAAAACCTTTCTCAAATGTTCCTCCAGCTTACTTCTCATATCTTATTGGCTGGTATTAGTGTGGAACATCAGTTCCAAAAAACGGCCACTGGTAAGAGCAATATAGTTGATTTGGAATCAAGCTTTACCCCTCTGGGCAGGGAGGGGCCCAGCCTCTGCTGAAGCACCTCCTCCCTCTTATCTGGAGAAAATTGTGGGTTTTCTTAGCAAGGGAAAAAGGAAGGAATGGCTGCCGGATAGGAGGCTAATAATGTACATGTAGGTATTGTTTACTGATTAAGGTGAGAAATGCCCCAAGACCAGAGCCCAGGATCAACTGTCCAAGTGTGGTTTCACCCCTAGCCTCTCCCCTCCCACCCTGGAGAGTATGGAGGGATTGACTGGAGAAGCAGGATGAGGGTAGGAGCCATGCAGGCCCACTCTTATATTTAGATATTATCTTCCTTATTTTTATTTTTTTCAACCTCAGCATCAGAGTGCAGAATTATCTAACCCACCCACCTTAGCCCAGTGGTGAGCACAAAAAATATCAACATGAGCTAGCTATAGTGTTTGCCTTACCTCTTCCTATAGAGTTTTATCTTCCCTGTTTGAAATAAAAGGCTATCTAGTTACAAACATATATTTGTTATCTTCTTGTTTCTTATCCTCCATATCCTATCAACAAAAGACCCTAAAGAGTACAACATTCCAATTAATAAGTGCCTTTTGATACTTTTAGGTGTATTATTTTTTCATTATTAAGAAAAAATGTTAAAGATTATCTCAGGTTAGTGAGGGTGGTGGTAGTTGAGAACCAGACTATTCATATAATTCATTTCCTTCCTGTGTGCCCCCCAATTGTAGAGTGACATTATCAGAGGAAAAAGATCAGATTTCTTTGGATCATTTTTTTTTGTATTTCCAAGGTAAATAACTCTAGAAATCTGAAATTTTCTCATGATTTTTGTGGGAAGTCCCTTACCACAAATCCAGTGGGGGAAATTCAGAAATGAACAAAATTCTGATTTTATAGTTTAAAATACTAAGAATAAAAAGTGAAATTACCTAAACTCTTACCTTTGGATACTTTATTTTTTGCTTATCACCTTCCACATATTTTTATTTTAATTAATTAATTATTTATTTTTAAAAGATTTTATTTATTTATTTCAGAGAGATAGTAAGAGAGAGCACAAGCAGGGGGCAGGGAGAGGGAGAAGCAGACTCCCTGCCGAGCAGGGAGCCCAACTCAGGGCTAGACCCCAGGATACTGGGATCATGACCTGAGCCAAAGGTAGACGCTTAACTGAGCCACCCAGGCGCCCCTCTTTTTATTTTTTTAAATTTTTATTTTTTAATTATTTTTTTTCAAAGATTTTATTTATTTATTTGAGAGAGAGAGAATGAGAGACAGAGAGCACGAGAGGGAAGAGGGTCAGAGGGAGAAGCAGACCCCCTGCCGAGCAGGGAGCCCGATGTGGGACTCGATCCTGGGACTCCAGGATCATGAACTGAGCTGAAGGCAGTCGCTCAACCAACTGAGCCACCCAGGCGCCCAAATTTTTATTTTTTAAGATTTTATTTTTAAGTAATCTCTATACCCAGTGCGGGGCTCAAACCCACAACCCTGAGGTCAAGTGTCACATGCTCCAGCGATTGAGCCAGTCAGGTGCCCCCTTAGATAGTGCAGTGTCATTCATATACTATTCACATGCTCATTTAGCTTAGCATATCTGTTGTTAGTTTCCCAGATTTGTATAGTTTCCATCACTATTTTTATTGGCTGTATTTAATTAAATTAATTTTTAAAAGATTTTATTTATTTGTCAGAGAGAGAGATACAGAGCACAAGTAGGGGGAGCGGCAAGAAGAGGGAGAAGCAGACTCCCTGCTGAGCAGGGAGCCCAACTGGGAACTGGAACCCAGGACTCCGGGATCATGCTGGAGCCGAAGGTAGATGCTCACTGACTGAGCCACCCAGGTGTCCCTATTGGCTGTATTTTATGTTAATATACAGTAGTTCAGTTATTTTCCCAATTTGGGTATTTAGGTTGGTAAGTTTTTGCTTTTAGTACCACTCTAAATTACATCTCTTTGACCATATTAATTTTTAGCCTTTATTAATCCTGACAAATTTTGAAATCTTAACTATTGGAAATTTTTGAAAACCTTTTCAGAAGCAAGAGAAAAAGAGGAAGAAATGAACAGAGAGAAAGAATTAAGAAGGCAAAATGAAGATATTGAACCAACATCATCGGGCTCACATGTAGTCAGAGATTGCTCCAAGTCATCTTCCAGGTGCTTGACTTTCTCAAAAAGATTCTGTTAAACTGTCATTCCCATTTAGGTGTTTAATCTTAGGTAATTGAAACTGGTAGTTTTGCAAAGAAAAAAAAAGAGGATAAAGACTGATTTTGTTCTAAGAACCTGGTATCTTTTTCTTTTTTTCTTTTATTTTTTTTTAAGGTTTTATTGTCAAAGGGAGAGACAGAGGGAGAGAGCACACACAAACTGGGGGAACAGCAGAGGGAGAAGCAGGCTTCCTGCTGAGCAGGGAGCCTGATGCAGGGCTCAATTCCAGGACCCTGGGATTATGACCTGAGCGGAAGGCAGACGCTTAACTGACTGAGCCACCCAGGCATCCCTGTTTAAGGACTTTTACAGGCCCTTTTGCCAGTGGCTTTCTTTTATTAGGAAAAAAAAATAACAGTAAAAAATATAGGCAGGAGAAAACTGTTAACTTTTTTCTTCATTGAGGCATCTTGAAGTTTTGTAATTTTTGCATAATTTTAATTGCCTTAAGGCTATACATTTTTTCATGTGATTTTGATGTCTTTTAAAAAAATAAAATCTGATTACTTCTTTGCCTTAAGGCTATACATTTTTTTCTTGTGATTTTGATGTCTTTTTAAAAAATAAAATGTGATTATTTCTTTCTCCACTTGAATTTGGACCTCATACTTTCTATGTATATTGATAAACTTGTTAGATTTGATATATTTTCTCATTCTCTAGCTTTTTAAAAAACTTGTTTTTCATTGTACAAACATTTTTTCATGTGTTTGATCATATTTTAATGTTTTTAAGATCTATTTCTTAGGCAATTATTTTTCCTCAAATAGATTATTATGCTACTTTCTTTTTTCTAGATTAATAAAAATTACTTTAAAATTTTAAATGAGATTATTATGAAGTATTTAAGACTATCAAAAAGATAATAAAGAACTGTACTCACTAGACAACTTAAGAAGTAAACTTTTACAGTGAACACTTCTTAGAACTGCCTTCCATTGCATCTCCCTCCCTTCTTGGCAGAGGTAACCAATCTTCCAAACTTAAAATATTTTTTACGTCTCTCTTTATAACATTATAACATATTTCTATATCCCTAAGATGTATATAATATTGTTTTGCATGTTTTAAGATCTTTCCCCTTATATGTCTAGTATAGCACTTAGCATATTGTATACTATCATGTACTGTTTTTGTTATGTGTTCTTGTATAAGATTATTGACACCGTAAGGTCAGGGATGTTTTTCCCCTTAATTAAACAAAAAGCTTTTGCTATGAAGTATGTCATACATATAAAACTTTAGATATCCTGCACTTAAAGTAAAGAGAACAATGAAGTCAATACCTGTAGTGTAGAGCTTTACGAGTGTGTTTGAAGTCCTCTCTCTGCTCATATTTCTCTCTCCTCCACTTTGTTTATCCTTCCTTCCTCTTTTTAATAGTTTTATTAGATATAAGTATTCCTAAACAATATGATTTTTTTTTTTTTTTTTTAAGATTTTATTTATTTATTTGACAGAGAGACACAGCGAGAGAGGGAACACAAGCAGGGGGAGTGGGAGAGGGAGAAGCAGGCTTCCGCCGAGCAGGGAGCCCGATGCGGGGCTGGATCCCAGGACCCTGGGATCATGACCTGAGCCGAAGGCAGATGCTTAACAACTGAGCCACCCAGGCACCCCACAATATGATGTTTTATATGATTTCTTATTTTATATTGATGCTGTTAATGCTGTCATGAGTGTTTTTTTTTCAAAAAAAATTTTTTTATTCAAAATATTTTTTTAGGGGGGCGGAGAGTCAGAGGAAGAGGGAGAGAGAGGATCCTAAGCAGGCTCCATGCATGGAGCCCGATACGGGGCTTGATCTCATGACCTTGAGATCATGACCTGAGCTGAAATCAAGAGTTGGACACTTAACCAACTAAGCCACCCAGACACCCCACAACAAGATATTTTTGAGATATTCATGTTGACAAATGAGGCTATAGTTCATTCATATTTGATGCCGTTTGGTTTTCCTTTTAGAAATATTTTTTCCAATTTCTAGTCAATTTAGGTTGCTGTTTTTCTATATTATTATAAAATATGTTTTTAGTGACTGCCTTGTAGCCATCCTCTGTTATTTTATTTTTTTTAAAGACCTTAGTATTTAACTGAAAGAGAGAGAGAGAGAGAGAGAGAGAGAGTGTGTGTGTGTGTGTGTGTGTGTGTGTGTGAGCCGGTGGGGGTGCGCGAGGGGAGTGGTGAGGAGCAGAGGGAGAGAGAGAATCTCAAGCAGAGTCTGCGCTGAGCATGGAGCCCAGTGTGGATCTCCATCTCACCACCCCGAGATCATGACCTGAGCCGAAATCAAGAGTCGGATGCTTAACGGACTGAGCCACCCAGGCGCCCCATCGTCCTCTGTTTTATATGTACAAAAGTTCCTCTTTCTTCCTCCCTCCTTTCCTTTCATAGAAGCTTATTGAGGGGTGCCTGGGTGGCTCAGGCGTTGGGCGTCTGCCTTTGGCTTGGGTCGTGATCCCGGAGTCCTGGGATCGAGCCCCGCATCGGGCTCCCTGCTCGGCGGGAGGCCTGCTTCTCCCTCTCCCGCTCCCCCTGCTTGTGTTCCCTCTCTCACTGTGTCTTTCTCTGTCAAATAAATCATCATCAACATCCTCCACCAGAGTGGTACATTTGTTAGAATTGATGAACCTGTGCTGACATGTCATCATCACTTAGAATCCGTAGTTTACGTGACGGTTCACTCTTTGATGTTGTACATTCTGTGGGTTTGGACAGATAAGTAATGACATGTAGCCATAGTATCAGTCAGAGTAGTTTCAGTGCCCGAAACATCCTCTGTGCTCTACCTATTCATTCCTGCCTCTTCCTAACTCCTAGCAACCACTGATATTTTAAATTTTTATTGAAGTAATTTATACACATTACAAAATCAAACATTATAAAGCTTCATTTTCCCCTGTTAATTCTTGCTTCCCAGAGAAAATTATTTAAGTTTTTTTTTCATCTTTTATTTACCTTCATATTACTAAATTGTAACTTTTGTGTCTGGCTTCTTTCACTTTGTAAGATGTTTTCAAGGTTCGTGTTTTATCAGAACTTCATTCCTTTAAATGGCTGAATAGGATTCCAGTGTATGTGTATATCACAGTTTGTTTATCCATTTGTTGATGAACATTTGGATTGTTTTCATTTTTTTTTTTAAAGATTTTATTTATTTATTTGAGACAGAGAGAATGAGAGACAGAGAGCATGAGAGGGAGGAGGGCCAGAGGGAGAAGCAGACTCCCTGCCGAGCAGGGAGCCCGATGCGGGACTCGATCCCGGGACTCCAGGATCATGACCTGAGCCAAAGGCAGTCGCTTAACCAACTGAGCCACCCAGCGGCGCCCCATTTTTTTTTTTTTAAAGATTTTATTTATTTGACAGAGAGAGACACAGGGAGAGGGGGAACACAAACAAGGGGAGTGGGAGAGAGAGAAGCAGCCTTCCTGCGAAGCAGGGAGCCCGATGCGGGGCTCGATCCCAGGACCCCAAGATCATGACCTGAGCCGAAGGCAGACGCTTAACGACTAAGCCACTCAGGAGCTCCTAGATTGTTTTCACCTTTTGAGTACTGTGAGTGCAATGAACATTAGTGTACAAGTATGTTTTTGAGTCTTTGTTTTTAATTCTTTTGAGTATATACCTAGGAGTGGAATTTATGGGTCATATGGTAATTTTATGTTTAACTTTCTTTTTTGAGGAATTGCCAAACTGTTACACAGTGGTTGCACCATTTTACATTCTTATCAGCAATGTATGAGGATTCCAGTTTTTTTACATTCTTCCCATTAGTTATTTTCCATTTTCTTATGTTTTTATTGTAGTCATCCTAGTAGGTATGAAGTGGTATCTCATTGTTTTTTATTTTCATTTCCCTAATATCTAATGATGTTGAGCATCTTTTGATGTGTGTATTGGCCATTTGCATATATTCTTTGGAGAAATAACAAAGTCCTGTAACCATTTTTAAATTGGATTGTTTGGGGGCGCCTGGGTGGCTCAGTCGTTAAGCGTCTGCCTTCGCCTCAGGTCATGATCCCGAGGTCCTGGGATCAAGCCCCGCATCGGGCTCCCTGCTCCGCGGGAAGCCTGCTTCTCCCTCTCCCACTCCCCCTGCTTGTGTTTTCTCTCTCGCTGTGTCTCTGTCAAATAAATAAAATCTTTAAAAATAAATAAATAAATAAATAAATAAATAAATAAATAAATAAATAAATTGGATTGTTTGTCTTTCTGTTGTTGAATTATAGGAGTTCTTTATATATTCTGGTTATTAAACTGTTAATTCTGTATATGATTTGCAGATATTTTCTCCCCTTCTATAGATTGTCTTTTCACCTTTTTTTTTTTAAAGATTTTTTTATTTGTCAGAACACAAGCTGGGGGAGCGGCAGGCAGAGGGAGAAGCAGGCTCCCCGTTGAGCCAGGAGCCTGATGCAGGACTTGATCCCAGGACCCTGGGATCATGACCTGAACTGAAGGCAGAGGCTTAACTGACTGAGCCACCCAGGCGTACTGTCTTTTCACTTTCTTAAATATATATTTTTTAAAATAAACTCTATGCCACATGTGGGGCTTAAACTCACAATCCCCAAGATCAAGAGTCACATTCTCTACCAACGGAGCCAGCCAGAACCCGTCTTTTCACTTTCTTAATAATGTACTTTGATGCATTAAAGTTTTTAGTTTTGATGAAGTCCAACTTACATATTTTTCCCCCTTGTTTTCTTTTAAGAGTTTTATGGTTTTATTTATTTTTATTTTTTTATTTTTTAAAGATTTTATTTATTTGACCGAGAGAGAGGGAGCACAAGCAGGCAGAGCGGTAGGGAGAGGGAGAAGCAGGCTCCCTGCTGAGCAGGGAGCCCAATGTGGGGCTCAATCCCAGCACCCTGGGGTCATGACCTGAGCCGAAGGTAGATGCTTAACCGGCTGAGTCACCCAGGTGCCCCAACAACAGAATTATTCTTTTTTTTTTTTTTTTTAAAGATTTTATTTATTTATTCATGAGAGACAGAGAGAGAGAGGCAGAGGGAGAAGCAGGCTCCCAAGGAGCAGGGAGCCCGATGCGGGACTCGATCCCAGGACCCTGGGATCATGACCTGAGCCGAAGGCAGACGCTTAACCATCTGAGCCACCCAGGCGCCCCCAACACAATTATTCTGACACTGAAAAAAGGATAGTGGTATAAGGAATTTTAGGGAAATTGAGCATGTCAGGATTTTTTTAAATCACATTAGCCTTCTTACGTAGCAGTGTGTTTTCTATTTTATTTTATGGATGTTCAGCAATCATTGCATGGTGATCATCTTCACTATCTTTAAATGCATACTTGTTATATATAAATTATTTCTTATAATTTCAATTTGGTTCTGGAATTCCTCTTCTCTCTCTTTTTTTTTAAAAATTTTATTTGAGAGAGAGAGATAGGGAGAGAGAGCACAAGCAGGGAGTTGGGGAGAGGGAGAAGCAGGCTCCCCACTGAGCAGTGAACTGGATGTGGGGCTCAATCCCAGGACCCTGGGATCATGACTTAAGCCGAAGGCAGGTGTTTAATTGACTGAGCCACCCAGGTGCCCCTCCTCTTCTGCTTTCTTGGCTGTATTTCATTCAGTCCTGTATATTTTAAACAAGTTTCAGGCTAGTTTTTTACCTTGTAGTATATTAAGAGTCTGTTTCACAAAACATACAAATAATTTTTTTTTGAGATTTTATTTTCTTAAGTAATCTCTACACCCAGTGTAGAGGGCTTGAACCCACAACCCTGAGATTGAGAGTTGCATGTTCTACCAACTGAGCCAGCCAGACACCCCCACAAAACATACAAATAATTAAAAAAAAAAAAACAAAAAACAACCTACAGTGTTATTAAAATTTGGTTTAGAGGAAGTCATCTAAGACTACCACTTTTTTGGCTTTAAAGAAATAGTGTATGGATGGAAGTTTCCATTTAAATATCAAATACTGGTAAGAAATACTTATTCTATGAAATATAGCTACAGGATAGGAGAGAAATAATTGATATATTCCAAATCTGTAAGGTAGGAATCGTTTAGACATTTGCATTTCCTCTAAAGAAATTAGTACCAGGGGCCCCTGGGTGGCTCAATTGGTTGGGTGTCTGCCTTTGGCTCAGGTCATGATCCCAGGGTTCTGGGATCGAGCCCCGAGTTGGGCTGCCTGCTCAGTGGGGAGCCTGCTTGTTCCTCTTCCTCCACCTGCTACTCCCCCTGCTTGTGCTCTCTCTCTGTGTCAAATAAATAAAATTAAAAAAAAAAAAGAAATTGGGGCGCCTGGGTGGCTCAGTCGTTAAGCATCTGCCTTTGGCTCAGATCATGATCCCAGGGTCCTGGGATCGAGCCCCACATGGGGCTCCCTGCTCCGCGGGAAGCCTGCTTCTCCCTCTCCCATTCCCCTTGCTTGTGTTCACTCTCTCTCTGTCTGTCTCTCTGTCAAATAATTAAGTCTTTAAAAAAAGAAAAAAAAGAAATTAGTACCAGAAACAATGAATTTTGGTTATGAATTTAGTTCCTATATTGAAATTGTATAATTACATATTTAGTGCTTAGCTAAACTCTCTTTTAAAAAGTCAGCTGAGGGGCACCTGGGCGGCTCAGTCAGTTCAGCCTCTGCCTTCAGCTCAGGTTGTGATCCCGGGGTCCTGGGATTGAGCCCCACGTCAGGCTCCCTGCTTAGCGGGGAGTCTGCTTGTCCCTCTCCTGCTGCCACTCCCCCTGCTTGTGCTTTCTCTCTCTCTCTCTCAAATAAATAAAATCTTAAAAAAATTAAAAGTCAGCTGAGAAAAATACTAGGTTTTGACTCCTCTGTTTTCTCATCAGATACATATTGTTTCTCAGGCTCTGGTTCATATTTTGGTACCACATTGAATTTAGGAGTATTTTAAACATGGAATGTGTTCTGTTTTCTGTCACGGACATTTTTGGACATAATTTCATGGACTCTTGTTTTTCAGAAATTGAAAATATGTTAAAAATTGTTTATTTTTTTGGCTTGTGTACATTAGAAGCAAAAAGACAGAAATGGAACTAGAAGCTGCATAGAAGCTGATACATTCCATTCAGTTTCGTGTCAGTATTAGGACTGTATAATCAGCCATGAAATCAACTTGGATTCATTTAGTTCTTAGTTCATTGCTAGTTAAACTCAGTTAAAGCATCGGTGCTAAAGATTAATAGTTTAGAGCTCTCTATGCTCTGAATAATTTTGCATTAAGAAAGTCTGTGATTTCTAAATTAGTATAGCTGGGAATTTGTGACTTAATGACAAGGGAGAAAATTGTGGAGTGTGACTACTTTAATAAAAATCTCTTCAGTCAGTCATTCAACTGTTACTTATTGAGCGTCTGTTGTGGGTTAGGCACTACTTTAGGCATTGGGGCTACAGCAATTAGCAAGTCAGATGAGCTCTCTGAGCTCATATTGTTGTGGGGTATCTGAGGAGACTGGATAACAGATTATAAACAACTAAGTAACCAATTAAATAAGATAGTTTAGTGAGGTATGTGATAAAGATTAGTAAGATAATGAAGATAATGGTGACTGATAGGGCTGTGTTTGATAAAGTTTAGACAGGGGGCATATAAGGCCTCTTTGAGGAGGCGATACTTGAGGAGACCTGAATGAAGAGAAAGAGGCCCATTTAACAGTCACTTCCAGCAGAGGGGACTGCAAGTGCAAAGACCCTCATGCTGGACCAAGCTTAACCTATTCAATTTGAAAGAAGGCCTGTGGGGATGGAGCACAGTGAGCTAAACCATGGCAAAAACAAAGAGAAGTTCTCTTTGTGGAGGTTTGCTTGCTCCAAGCAAAGATAGGACCCTTTGTATACGGATAACATGTATGTAAGTATGTACTCCCTTCAGTAGTCAACTTAGATGAAAATCAAAATAAAAATCCCATTTTTTTCTTCAGTGGATATTGAGAGTGCCTGTTATATGTCAGGCATCGTTTAGGTGCTAGAGACAGCAATGAATGCAACAGAGAGCAGTTTCTGCTTTCATGGAGCTTATATACTAGAAATATTTTAGTAGAAGATAATACTTTGAGTTTTATAAAATATTTGATATATTAATTGAAGTAATTAGGAACGCAATTCTCAATCCTTTGGGATGGGGTAGGAGAGAGGGTGGATGGTGGACTTTCAGAATGCCTAGAGGTGTGTGATAAAGACCTTAATGAAAGTGTGTAACAGTTCACAGGTGTGCTGGGTAGAAAAACATTGAGAATCAGTGTAATACTCTCTAGTGTAAGATAGTTTTAGAATCCAAGGATGCTACAAAGAACATTTTAGCAACTCAGTAAACTTGAATTAAAAGAGAAATAATTTGTATTTCAGAAAATATATTGAAACGTTTTGGGAGTAATATTAACTTTCTTACATGGCTGGCTTTATTTGCTCCTGTGGTAAACAGTGATTGGATTCAGATATAGTGATCAGAAACATTGGTTATCTTGGGGGTTTTCTTTCTTATGGATGTAGTATTTTGTAGTTTTTCTTCCACATTCCAGTTGTTCTTCTGGCTCTTTATGAGTGAGGATGCCCTAAGGGGCCTCTAACATATAATTGCTGTGACTTTAATTTATGTTTAGGTTAAGATAAGTAGATAAAAGAAACTTCTACTTTCTTAAGATAAAATGAGTTACACATTTAATGCTTGAATTACAAATTTAACAAATTACACATTAATTAATTAAAATTAAAACTCAGTTGTTAAAAGGAGAGGCAGGGTTTCCTGGGAAATCAGTACTATCTCTAGAGTGTGTTCTTTGTTGCAGAACACACAAGTGTTATGTTGCAAAATAAACAAACAAGAGTTTGTTTCTGTATTTTCAGGGATACAAGCAGCAGTGAGAGTGAGGAGAGTTCTGGTTCTTCTGATGATGAATTAATTGGCCCTCCTTTACCCCTTAAAATGATGAAAGAACCAAGTAATCATATTGAGGAAGATATCCTCGGTCCTTTACCTCCACCTCTTTATGAAGAAGTAGAAGAAGATGATGACGATGACGGTGATTCAGAGGAGGAGGAAGTAAGTATTTCAGTAGTAATTTAACAATTCATTGTGGTAGTGTAGGGATCAGTTCCCTGCTGTTATTCATGAGTGAGAGCAAATAAAGAACAATTTTGAGTTTACTACTGATAGCCCTTGTTGAAAGAACTCTAAAGGATGTACTTCAGGAACAAGAAAATATAACTCAGAAATAATAAATGGGCAGCAGGAAGCAATGTCTTAAAAAAAGGAGTTAATTAATAGACATTTTGTTAAATCTATATAAGCATTGAGTATAAATAATAGTAATGAATAAATTTAGGGTTTTTTTTTTTTAAGATTTTATTTATTCATTTGAGAGGGAGAGACAGAGCATGAGCAGGGGGAGCAGCAGAGGCAGAGGGAGAAGCAGACTCCCGGCTGAGCAGGGAGCCCGATGTGGGGCTCGATCCCAGGACCCTGAGATTACAACCCGAGCCAGAGGCAGTTGCTTTACCATCTGAGCCACCCAGGCACCCCAGGGGGATTTTTTTTTTTTTTAAGATTTTTTTATTTATTTGACAGAGAGAGACAGCAAGAGAGGGAACACAAGCAGGGGGAGTGGGAGAGGGAGAAGCAGGCTTCCCGCGGAGCAGGGAGCCCGATGTGGGGCTCGATCCCAGGACCCTGGGATCATGACCTGAGCCGAAGGTAGACGCCTAACGACTGAGCCACCCAGGCGCCCCGTTTTTTTTTTTTTTTTTTAAAGATTTTATCTATTAGAGAGCACGCGTGAGCTTGCCCACTCACTCACATGAGTGGGGGGAGGGGCAGAGGGAGAAGCAGACTCCCTGCTGAGCAGGGAGCCCCACGCGGGGCTCCATCCCAGGACCCATGAAATCAAGATTTGAGCTGAAGGCAGCTGCTTAACCAACTGAGCCACCCAGGTGCCCCGATATAGGGGGATTTAAAAACAAAGTGGATCTAAAATTATTGTGAGCAGTGACGTGGAAGATAGGAGAGTGGAATCAGTTCATTCAGTTTGAAGGCCTTGTATTATTTGGGAGGAGGCTAGAGCTATTAATTAACTTCAAATTAGTTTAAGTATGCAAATCGTTATTTTAAGACTAATTGCCAAAGAATAGAAATAAATTGTATAACCTCAAAAGAGTAAAAGAAAAGATGAAGAAAACCATTGGTATACTTTGTGTATTTGAGACCCCGAGTGGATCATTTTTTAATACCACCCTCCTCTGTGGTAAATTTTCAGTAACGGTTATGAGATGAAACAAATAATGATCAGAAGAGAAACAGCTTTTGGGGCGCCTGGGTGGCTCAGTCGTTGGGCGTCTGCCTTCGGCTCAGGTCATGGTCCCAGGGTCCTGGGATTGAGCCCCGCATCGGGCTCCCTGCTCGGCGGGAGGCCTGTTTCTCCCTCTCCCTCTCCCCCGCTTGTGTTCCCTCTCTCGCTGTCTCTCTCTCTGTCAAATAATAAAATCTTTAAAAAAAAAAAAAAAGAAACAGCTTTTGCAAATCTGTCAGTGACTTCACAAAATCGGCATTCTTTGCATATTCTTATTCAATACCAATGTATCAGATTTGTCAATTTATGTTATTTCATAGTTAATCAAAGAAAGCTTTTTAAAGATTTTTTTATTTGTTATTTTAGAGAGAGAGCATGAGAACAGGGAGGTGCAGAGGGGGAGGGAGAAAGAATCTCAAGTGGACTCCATGCTGAGGGCGGAGCCAAACGCAGGGCTCGAACTCATCACCCTGAGATCATGACCTGAGCGTTAACCAAGAGTCGGACGCTTAACCAACTGAACTACCCAGGCACCCTGATCAAAGAAAGCTTTTAATTTTAATTTTGAAAATTTTTTTTCACATGAAACATGAGATGTGTGTGTGTATGTATGCGTTTTGAGGTTCTTTACAGAAAATGCACCCCTTTGCTGTGTGCACCACTTCCACTGCAATACTCTTGATGTGCCATTGAAGAAGACTCAGTCATTCCAGTAAAAGACAGGAAAGAAGAAAAAAAACGTAGAGGTAAATCTTGGTAAATAGAGATAGAAAAGAAGTAAGGTGGTAGGCACGAATACAGATATATCAGTGTTCACAAAAGATGTAAGTGGACTCAACTTGCCACTTAAAATTCTCAGATTAAATTTAAAAATTCAGGTATATTCTGTTTACGAGTGATACACCTAAAATGTAATGACGTGGAAAGGTTGAGAGAAAGAGGAATAAAAAATAGCAGGAAAATACTAACCAAGAGATAACTGATTAATCTTATAAAATTAACTTAAGACAAAATAGTCTTTAAGTCATAATTAGTCTAATTAGCCAAATGAATGTCATTACTTAATGGCAAAGGGAACAGTTTATCCTCCAGGAAAATTTGGCATTCCTTAGCCTCTGTGAATTTAACACAATATATTTAAAGCAAAAATTGACAGAATTAGGGCACCTGGGTGGCTCAGTTGGTTAAGCGACTGCCTTTGGCTCAGGTCATGATCCTGGAGTCCTGGGATCGAGCCCTGCATCAGGCTCCCTGCTCAGCAGGGACTCTGCTTCTCCCTCTGACCCTGTCCCCTCTCACGTGCTTTCTCTCTCTCTCAAATAAATAAATCTAAAAAAAAAAAAAAAAAATTGACAGAATTAATGAGGAATAGACAAATCTACAATCATAATGGGAGATTCAGAAATTGTTAAGACAACAGTAAGAGTATAGTAGTGAACAATACAAATGCATGTTTTTTCAACTGAGCATATATAGAACCCTTGTCTAATATTTTCTTTTCAAGCACATATGGATAAATCAGAAGAAGAGGCTCACATCTAGGTCACAACATGCTATGGACATGAGAAAGATGTACTTAATTATTTTGGGTAGTTCACAGAGTAGATTATATGTAGGTTGATCATGAAATGTGAGAATATTGTGAGTGAATGTTTGTGTACTCTCTAAATTCATGTGTTGAAGCCCTAACCCCCAGTGTGGCTGCATTTGGACATGAGACTCTTTGGAAGTAATTAAGGTTACATTAGGTTGTAAGGGTGGACCCTGATCTTATAGGTTTAGTGTGTTTATAAGAAGAGAAACACCACAGAGCCAGGTATGCATATAACAAAGCAAGAAGGTGGGCATGTACAAGGCAAGAAGAAAGCCCTCAACAGAAACTAAATTACCTTGATCTTGGACTTCTAGCCTCCAGAACTGTGAGAAAATAAATTTCTGATGATTAGCCATCTAGCTTGTGGTATTTTGTTATGGTAACCTGAGCTGATTAATACAGCTTTGCAAAGCTGACAAGAGGCTGGGGAACAGAGAATGGAAAAAAAGAAGGGTATTGTGAGCAGGCAGAAAATTGCTATAGTGAAGGCTCGATGTATGCAAGTACATGTTATGGTGGTGAAATGTCATGTGATTAGTGCATGGCTGAGTTTTCTTTTTAGGGTTAAGTGGAAAGATGAGGCTGATGAGATCAAATTCAGAGATCAGGACACAGAAGAGCGGCTTTCTGGAGGGCATGGAATTTGAATGAGCCTTGTAGAGGGTTACATTTTGATGAGCATGGTGGGGATAGGCCACATCCTGTGTATGAAGAGTAAATGGCAGGAACAAAGGCATAATTTATAAGGTTAGATTTCAGATGATGCAAAAATCAACTTGCCTAGAATAGAAAGTTGATAAAGAAGATCAGACCTTTGACATAGAACTGATGTGTGAGTAAACCCAAAGTACAGCTATGCAGAGAAGTGCATGCTTAGGTATGGGACTCCAAAGCTCGTTTGTAAGCTTTGGCCTTTCATGGCTGTAATTCAAGCATTTTAGGAGACTGAATAACAGTTTTCTGTTTTTTTTTTAAGATTTTATTTACTTATTTGAGAGAAAGGGAGAGAGTGTGTGAGAGAGAGCAAGCAAGCATAAGCGTGGGGGAGGGCAGAGAGAGAAGGAGAAGCCGGCTCTCCTCTGAGCAGGGAGCCCGATGTGGAGCTAGATCCCAGGACCCTAAGATCATGACCTGAGCCAAAATCAAGAGTCAGACGCTTAACTGACTGAGCCAACCAGGAGCCCCTGTTTTCTGTGTGTGTGTGTGTGTGTTTTAAATAAGATTATATGCATTGAGTCTTTTGAAAGAAAATTGTTGTCTTTTTATGGGTGTGCCTTTTTCTGTAAACATAGTAAAAGAAAATGCTGATGAAATAATATGCAAAGCAAGGCTGTTGATGAATGTTCCAATAATAGCCTTAATTTTAAAGTGTGCACTAATTGATAATTAAAGTTTATTAGCATTGTTAATGGATTAACTAAAACTTTGGAAGGGAGACAAAACAGGAGTGGGAGATACCTTATGTCTACTACAATCCTCCTTCTGTTTCTCTTTTGGATGTATATCATAACCAGCATTTCCAGGGCTAGGGCAGAGATGGTGGGTGAAGCAGACAGTTTGGAAATTTGGTAATGTTGTGAATGTGGCTTTGCAGTGCCCTTCTTAGATTTGGATAAATTATATTGGCCTTGAATGGAGTTGTTCAGTTTTCAGACTGTGCTTTAATAGTAGTAGATGGGTGGCAACCTTAGGGTGTTTTTTTAGGTTCTGAGTGAAAACTTTTCTACTGCTTGTATTTGATATGTAGGATATTGGCAGCCTTCTGGAGTTAGGGATCATAGGCAAGGGAAAGCTGCTATTACCATCTTGAATGTGAATGTTGTGGGATCTAGACAGACAAATTAGCATGATTTATTTTAGATTATTTGCATAGCAGTGTTTGGCCTGTGTCAACATTGAATTCAAGTATTTCTGGGTTTTGAAGGAATCTTGTTTTTAATGGTAGGTTAGACTTAGGATCTAGTAATTTATTGATTCAGAAACTGAATTTAGTTCCTTCAGGCAATCAGTTTGGGGTAATGCTAAACAAAATTATAGGAGATTGTTTTATGTATCAGAATGCTAGTTAATATTTTCACAATTTGGGATATATCAGAATTGTCCCTCCTCTCCTTGATTTCCTCTCCTTTTTTCTCCCATGCTTTGTTTCATCACCACTGATGT